ATATTAATGATATTGTTCAATAATTTCCAGATTCTGTTGGATCACCTTTGTTTGGAATGGGCACAAACATGGATCTCTTCCAGTCAGTGGGGAAGGTAACTGTTGAAACATCTCAATGGGCATTCCATCAATTCCTGGAACATGATTTTTTTGCCAGTTCCTTCAGAGCCACTTGTATTCTTTCTTCAATAAGATCAGCTCTTGATCATATGCTGCCTCTTGAAATAGTTAAACATTGGCCAGTTATTTTTAGTACAGTGACCCTGTGTAGTCATTTCATCTTCTTTTGATGCTTCTTGTACCGTTCAACATTTTGCCCAAAGAACCCTTCAATATTGCAACTTGAGGCTTGTATTTTTTCTTCAGTTCTTTCAGCTTGAGAAATGCTGAGCGTGTTCTTCCCTTTTGGTTTTCTAACTCCAGGTCTTTGCACATTTCATTATAATACTTTACTTGTCTTCTCTAACCACCATTTGAAATCTTCTGTTCAGCTCTTTTATTTCATCATTTCTTCCATTCACTTTAGCTACTCTCCTTCCAAAAGCAACTTTCAGAGCTTCTTCTGACATCCATTTTGGTCTTTTCTTCCTTTCCTGTCTCTTTAATGATTGTTTGCTTTCTTCATGTTTGATGTTCTTGATTTAATTTCTGTGTATTCCATCTGAGAGGCCCATCTGTATAGTCACTGTTTATGTTGTTAGGAAAAAAAATATTTGCTATTAGTAAGTCATTGATCTTGCAAAATTCTATCACGCACTCTTTAGCATCATTTCTAACACCAAGGCCATATTTTCTAACTACCAATGATTCTTCTTTGTTTCTGACTTTTGTATTCCAATCACTATAATAATTAATACATCTTGATTGCATGTTTGATCAGTTTCATAGTGCAAAAGTTAGTAAAAATTAATTTTTCATCTTTGACTTTCATGGTTGGTGAGTAAATTTGAATAATAGTAGTATTGACTGGTCTTCCTTGTAGGCATATGGATATTATCCTATCACTGACAGCATTGTACTTTGGGATAGATCTTGAAAAATGTTCTTTTCTCAACAAATATGATGGCATTCCTCTTCATTTTGTCATTTGTGGCATTGTAGACCATATGACTGTCTGATTCAAAATGGCCCAAACCAGTCCATTTTTGCTCACTAATGCCTAGGATGGGAGCTCTGGTGGTGTAGTGTCTAAGGCATTTGACTGCTAACCAGAAGGCTGGCGGTTCAAACCCACCAGTCACTCCTCTGAAGGAAGGTTGGGCAATCTACTTCCATAGTGATACCACCTCGGAAACCCAAGGAGGGATAGGTAAGAGTTGGATCCAACTCGACAGCAGTGAATAGCAGTAGTAGTAATGCCTAGGATATAGATCTTCATGCATTCCATTTCATTTTTGACAATTTCTAATTTTCCTAGATTCAGACTCCTTACATTTCATGTTCTGATTATTAATGGATGTTTATAGCTATTTCTTTCCATTTTGAGTCATGCCACGTCAGCAAATGAAGGTCCCCAAAATTTTACTCCATCCACATTATTAAGGTCAACTTTACTTTGAGGAGGCAGCTCTTCCCCAGTCGTATTTTGAGTGCCTTCTGACCTGAGGGGCTCATCATGTACCAGTATGCATGAAGTTTTCCAGTAACATATCAGACAGTGTTTCACTGCTGTGCATAAGGTTTTCAGTGGCTAATTTTTTTTTCAGAAGTGGATGCCTTCATCCTTCTTCATGCTCTGTCTTAGACTGGAAGCTCCACTGAAATCTATGCACCATGGGTGACCCTGCTGATATTTAAAATAGTGGTGGCATAGCCTCCAGCCTCATGGCAACACTCAAGCCACCACAGTATGACAAACTGACAGATGAGTGGTGATATATATACATATGGATATAGACACATACAGAAAGAGACCAAAAACGTCCTTGGGTGCTAAAGACGGTTAAGCATTCAACTACTAACCTGAAGGCTGGCATTTCAAACCCACCCAGCAGAGCTTTGGAAGCGAGGCCTGGCTGTCTGCTCCCGTAAGTATTACAGCCAATAAGACTCTGTGAAGCACAGCTCCACTCTGGAGCACATGGGCTCACCATGAGTCAGAATGGACTCAACACCAACTGACAACTGGTTTTCAATGGATTTTATGTTCCCACCCAAATGGATAAATACTGGTGTTTATCACAACAGGTGAGAGGGTGTCTACTGTATTGATCATGTGGTAGCAGGTGGTGAATTGACCCCAATCAATTTGGAGCTCATTGAAAGCAGAGGTGAAGTGCTATTTTTATCATAATTTCCCACATGAGTTCTTAAAACTCATGCTAAATTTATATCCTGTTGATGGAAGGGTGAAGGTGGAGAGGAAGGAAAGAAATGAGAGAAAGAGGAAAGTGAAAGAAAGAGAAGAAAGCAAAATAAATCAATTCTCTTTTACTGTATCAAGGTTTGGCTCAGGTTTGATTCTGCTTGGTTTCGTTTTCCAGGAAGCTTCCCTGCACTGAAGTGAAAGGAAAGTGCTTGTAAACAACATCATGAGGGAGTGATAGCTCAATGGCAGGATTCTCACCTTCCACGCAGGGGACCTGGGTTCGATTCCCAGCCAGTGCATTTGTCTGTCAGTGGAGGCTTGCATGTTGCTATGCTGTTGGACAGGTGTCAGTGGAGTTTCTAGACTGACATGGACTGGAAAGAAAGGTCAGGTGATCTACTTCCAAAAAAATCAGCCAATGAAACCATGCAGATTGCAACAGTCCAATCTGCAACCAATCAGGGGGCTGGCACAGGGCTGGGCAGCATCTCATTCTGTTGTGCATGAGGTGGCCATGAGTAGGAGCCAACAACAACATCGACAGCATCATCCAAATAATTTAATCCTCCAGGATGGATGCTTTGGGATAAAAAGAAACTCAATGAAGGTTTTAAAAAAAATCCCATCATTACCAAGTCAATTAAAAATATAAATAAATAAATAATGATTCCACTGTTATTAAGTTGATTTAGACTCACAGCAACTCTATAGGTCAGAGCAGAACTGACCCATAATGTTTCCAAGGCTGTCATCCTTATGAAAGCAAACTGTGCCATCTTTCTCCTGGTGGCAGGTGGGTTCAAACTGCCCATCTTTCTGGTTAGCAGCAGAGTGCTTAACCACTGTGCCACCAGAGCTCCTTCCATTGAAGATAACTTAACCAAAATAAAAACAGATCTGTTGTCCTCCAGTCAACTCTGCTTCCTGGTGACCTCATGTGTGCAGAGCAGAGCTGCTCCATGGGATTTTGGTGGCTGTGACCTTTCAGAAGCAAGTGTCAGGCCTGTCTTCTGAGGCACCTCTGGCAGGGTTTGAACTGCTCACCTCTTGGTTGGCAGCCAAGCGCTTAACTGTTTACATCACCAAGGGACTCCATAGCTCAAGACAATAGGATTAATGTAAGGATTCAAAGGGCTTTGATAGAACCCTACAGGTCTCAATCAATGGTAAGCTGGGGCTGGAACCTCATCTCCTACTCCCAACTTCATGTTGCTCCCCCTTTTTTTTCCCCAGGGAACACAGACTGGCCATGGAACCAGAAAACCAAACAGCAGTCTCAGAATTCTTCCTCCTAGGCCTCTCAGAAAAGCTCGAACATCAGCCCCTCCTCTTCGGGCTGTTCCTGTCCATGTACCTGGTCACCATCATGGGGAATTTGCTCATCATCCTGGTCATCATCACGGCCTCTCCCCTCCGTACACCCATGTACTTCTTCCTCGCCAACCTGTCCCTCATTGACATCTTCTTCTCCTCCACCACTGTCCCCAAGATGTTAGTGAACATGCAGACCCAGAGCAGGTCCATCCCCTTCGCGGGATGCCTGGTGCAGATGTACGCATTCCACCTGTTTGGCACCATGGACAGCTTCCTCCTGGCTGTGATGGCCATTGACCGCTTTGTAGCGATTGTCCACCCTCTGCACTACTCAGTTATCATGAGCCCCCGTGTGTGTGGGCTGCTGGTGGGGGGCCCGTGGGTGATCACCAACCTTCAGTCCCTGGTGCATACCTGCCTAATGGCCCAGCTGAGCTTCTGTGCCAGCTCTGAGATCCCCCACTTCTTCTGCGACCTCATGCCCCTGCTGAAGCTCTCCTGCTCTGACACGCACATCAACGAGTTGGTCATCTTTGCTTTTGGTATTGTCATGGGCATCAGCCCACTGACTTGTATCCTTTTCTCCTACATCTGCATCTGCCGGGCAGTCTTTAAGATCCCTTCTGCCCAGGGCAAATGGAAAGCCTTCTCCACGTGCGGCTCCCACCTCACCGTGGTGTCACTATTCTATGGGACCATCTTCGCTGCGTACCTGCAGCCTGCAGCACCTACCTCCTCACAGAAAGACAAGGCAGCGGCCCTGATGTGTGGGGTGGTTATCCCCATGCTGAACCCTTTTATCTACAGCCTAAGGAATAAGAACATGAAGGTAGCTCTGAGGAAGCTCATAGACAAAGCAGCCTCCCCCGAGTCCTAGGCCAGAAAAGTTATTGGGTGCCTACTGCACCCACGACTAACCTTGGGAACATAGAGATGGATCCCAACTATTATGGATTTCTCTGTATCCCCAAAAAATATGTGTTGAATTCCTGACTCTTGTACCTGTGAAAGGAGTCCTTGGGTGGCACGAACAGTTAAGTGCTTGAGTGCTAACTGGAAGGTTGAAGGTTCAAACCTACCCAGGGACACCTGGGAGGAAAGGCCTGGTGATCTGTTCCCAAAAGGTTACTGTCACGGAAACCCTGTGGAGCACGGTTCTGCTCCGACCCATGGGGTCACCATGCGTGGGAACTGACTTGATGGTAACTTGTTTTGTGTTTCTGTTTTGTTTTGTTTTAATCATATCCAAGGCCATTCTTGAGGACAAGGAACACAGAGATGGATGCCACTGGTTATAGACGGCATTGTTTCCCCCAAAATATATGTTGAATTCCTGGCCCTGGTACCTGTGGAAAGAGTCCCTGGATGGCATGAATCGTTAAGCATTTGACTACTAACTGAAAGGTTGATGGTTCAAACCCACTCAGAGGCAGCTGGGAAGAAAGGTCTGGAAATCTGCTTCCAAAAGGCCACAGCCTTGCAAACCCTCTAGAGTACGGTTCTACTCTGTGTGGGAGCCAGTATGAGTCAAGCAGACACAGTGGCAACTGATTTCTTTTTTTTTTTTTTTTTTCTTTTTCCCTTTTTAACCACATCCAAGACTATGCTTGAGGGCTAGCAACATAGATGTGGATCTCATATGTTATGGATTGCATTGTGTTCTGAAAAATATATGTTGAATCCCAGCCTTTGTACCTTGTTTCCTGTTTGGAAATGAGGGCTTTCTTTTTGTTATGTGATAGGGCCATATCAATGTTAAGTAAGTCTTAAACCTGACCATTGCCGTGTGGTGTCTTATAACAAGAGCAGATTAGACACACAGTGGGAAGACAGATGTCAAACACACCAAGGAGTGCCGAGGATCACCAAGAATTGCTGGTCAATCAGACAGGCCTAGGAGATGAATTACAGCAGGGAGGTGCACTTCTTAGAACAATTAACCCTGGGACATCAGAGGGGCATCATTTGCACAGAGAGATAGCTCAGAGGGCAGGGATGCACAGGACAGAACCACACAGGGCAAAGGGAACCACAGGGAAGAAGTGGGAAGAGAGCTGTTACATTGTGGGGACTGCGATCAATGTCACCAAAAAAGAAATAAATGTGTATGAACTGTTGAATGGAAAAGTAATTTGCTTTGTAAACTTTCAAATCACAATAAAAAGTTTTTAAAAAGTGGTGGAAAAGAAAGAAAGAAAGAAAGAATTGCTGGCAGCTACGGAAAGTAGAAGAGAGACTTGCAGAAGGAATCGACAGGACTGAGACCTTGATTTGGACTTTTAGCCCCCAGAACTGCGAGAAAATAAATTTCTGTTCTCGAGAGCATTCCAGTTGTGGTATTTCTGCTATGACGGCAGCACTAGGAAACTAAGCCGTTTCCCTAGCCCCAAAGGGCTCAAAGTCTACTGGGCGTTAAGACCAATTGCCATCGAGTTGGCCCTGATTCATGGCAGCCTCACAAGTGCCAGAGGGGACCTGTGCCCCACAGGGCTCTCGGGGGCTGGTTTTTCACAAGCAAATCACCAGGTCTCTCCTCCTTGGACCTCTGGGCGGGCTCGACTGCCAACCTTCCAGTTAGCAGCTGTTCAGGTTACCTAGTGCCGCTCTGACAGGAATATCCCACAAATGGGATGGCCTCAACAAACAGGAGTTTATTCTTACAATTTGGAGGCTTTAAGTCCAAGTTCAAAGTGCCAGGCTCTAGGGGCTGGGTGAAAGCCCCTCAACCTTAGGGTCCAGCTCTGCCTCCTGCTCCCAGCCCACTGGAGCTAGAGGCATTTCTTCACTCAGACAGCTGCTGGCTGCTGAGGCTGAGAAGCCCCAAAGGTGAAAAAGAAAAAGGCACAGTCCCGATGTTACCTAACCACATGGCAGGCCATTAACTTAAGTCCATTGTAAGTCCCAAGGTCAGTAGAGCATGACAGACTGCTGAACAACGACATGACACGGCTACATGCAGGGTCCAAGCGTGCCATAGACTAGAAACCATTCCCAAAGCTGCTGCTTATATACGGGAAGCAGACCACATACCTAAGGCAGCTACTCAGCTGCCCCCAGTAGATTCCACCATGGAGTTGATGACCAGTCTCATCATGGGGAATACTACATCCAGCTGCCCAGCCACTCAACCAGGCCCAGCCAAGTTGACACACAAGCATAACTACCACAGCAGCCAAGCACATTAATGTCTGCAACACCCTGAAATGCCAGACAATTCCCAAGTGGATAATCTTTAAAAAAAAAAAAAAAGGAGCTGGCATAGTGCCTAAGGCATTTTGACTGCTAACCAGAAGGCTGGTAGTTCAAACCCACTAGCCACTCCTCGGAAGGAATTTTGGGCAACCTACTTCCATCGTGATACTGCCTCGGAAACCCAAGGTGGGGTCACTTTGAGTCGGATCCAACTTGAGGGCAGTGAGTTTCTAGAGGTGGTGTAGTGCTTAAGCCCTTTGACTACTAACCAGGAGGTTAGTGGTTCAAACCCTTGGAAGGAAGATTGGGCGATCTACTTCTGGAAAGATTTACTGCCTCAGAAACCCAATGGGGGTGGATAATACCATTTAATGATAGTTGTGTCCCCCAAGAAGTCAGCTGCAAACCATGGCTACTACACGTGTAATACAGCAAAATACCCCCCAGGCCTGTACCGTCCTCACGTGGCATGTTGGACTCTATTGTTCCAGCCATTGTGCCCATCTATTTCCTTGAGCATTTCCTTCATTTTCTCCAGCACTCCACTTTACCAAATACATTGCTCTTCTCCAGCAATCGATTCCCCTTGACGATGCAACCAAAGTAAGCGGGTCAAAGTCGGGGGCAGTGTTTGTGGTCCCCAGGGCTTTCCCCGTCTGATTTTCAGAAGCGGACGGTCGGCCTTTTCCTCCCAGCCAGCCTTGGTCTGGAAGCTCCGCTGAAACCTCTCCACCATGGGTGAGCCTGCTGATACTTGAAACAGTGATGGCATAGCTTCCGGCCTCACAGCACCACGAAAGCCATCACAGAACCACAAACTGATGATCGGTGGTAAACTATCCAAATGCCACTCAAAAAGGTTTGAAAAGATGGAAGCTACAGTTAGACGAAATGGCCACCAGATGGCGGTAGTGCCATTTCACAAAAAATGACCTTTTTTTTCCCCCCCTGGTTGCTGCTGTTGTTGTTATGGTTTTCTGTTTCAGAACCATTTATTGGGGGCTGAACCGTGAACCTGACGTATTTGCAGCCTGGGAGAGGGGTCATCTTTCCCTGGGAAGGATCAGTGTGGCCAGGCTTCAGCGGAGCTTCCAGACTAAGGACGACCAGGAGGAAAGGCCAACAGTCTCCTTCTGAAAATCAGCCCGGGAAAGCCCTGCGGATCAGAAACACTGGCCCAGACTTTGACCAGCTTACTTTGATTGCATCATCAGGAAGGAGCCGGGATTGGAAGTGGGGTGTGCAGTGGGCCTGTGAAGGGTGGCAAGGGTCAGCCCACACCACAGGGACTGGTCCAAAGAGCAGTGGGAGCAAGGGACACGTTTTCAGCAGGAGTATGGGCTACCTGTGCTTCAGAACGAGCCCTCCACTAAGACTTCTAGAAACTAAACGGGGTGCCGTGGGGTCGATTGTGACTCTTGGTGACCCATGTGTGTCAGAGTAGAACTGCTTCGTAGTGTTTCCAAAGGTATATTTTTCAGATGTAGATTGCCAGGTCTTTCTTCCACGTCTCTGAGTGGACTCGAACCACCAACTTTTCAGTTGGCAGCTGAGCAGGTTAACTGCACAACCCAGGGACTTCTGCTATAGACTAGGAGCCAGCAAACGTTTTCTATACAGGATGAGATTCAGTCGATATTTTCAGCTTTAGGTGATACAGTTTCCAATACTGACTCAACTCCACCTTTTTTTTTTTCCCCAATAAAAAGCAAACATAGATATGATGTCTATACATAGGCCTGGATGTGTGCCAATAAAACTTCATTGATGGGCATCGAAATATGACTCCATATCATTTTACACATCACAAAATGTAGCCTTTTTATTGTGGGGAAAATACACACAGCAAAACATACACCCAATCAACGATTAGTATATGGGGAATCCAATCAATTTCTATATAGGTAATTCAGTCAACAATTTCTCTGTGGGGAATTCAATCAACAGTTTCTCTGTGGGGAATTCAATGACATTGATTACATCCTTCAAGTTGTGCAATTATTTTTGCTATCCTTTTCCAAATTATTCCACCAACCAAAGAAACTCAATGTCCCCTAAGCAAAACTCCCCCATCGCCTCCCTTCCATCCTTGTTGTTGTTGGTGGTGGTGGTGCTGTTGTTATGTGCTGTCGAGTCGGCCCTGACTCATAGCGACCCCTCCTTGGGTTTCCGAGGCAACCTTCCTTCCAAGGAGT